TTATAGTACTAGATCAATAAGAGGAGTCATGCATGGGTGCTCTTGCTTGCCATACTGAGAGCTCAAACATAGCCAATAGAAATTACTCAATGCTGGAATTTCAAAAACAAAAGATTCTTATTTTAAGATCTTCCTAAAAGCATACACTTAGATTTTCTTTAACAGTTGCTGAGTTCTGGCAGATATAGTATGATTAAAGGAATCTATTATGCTACTGTGGCATAATTTTTTTTTTTCCTAGCAGATTGCAGAGGTATCTAATAACATGTATCACTTTTGGTTTGTAAATACCTTTATATTTTGTTCCTGAAAGTGTGAGGAAGAGTCATTGTGAGCTCACATTTTAGGGACAGGCACGTTGAAAGTAAATGAGTCAAAATTAAGAGAATTTTAGTCATTTTTATAATACCTCCATTTAAGAAAGCACAATCTTTAGCCCAGAGTTTCTCAACTTTAGCACTATTGCCATTCTGGGTGGGCCATTCTTTGTGGTTAGGGACTGCTCTCTATATATTCTGGGATGTTTAGCAATATCCTTAGCCTTTATCCATTAGATGCCAATAGTACTTTCACAATTGTAATGACCATTCAGGCAATTCTGACTCGTAGCAAACCCAGTAGCTCCTTCCCCCGAGGTCATCCCAGAATTCCCAGACTTTAAATCTTACAGAAGCAGATGGCCTCTAGTTTCTCCTCAAAGCAGCTGATGGGTTTGAACCAACCCCTGACCTTTTGGTTAGCAGCCTAACCAAAAGCTTATTCTACAGTGCCACCATGGCTCCAGACAGTGCTCAATATCCCTTGGAGTACAAATTATTCTCATATAGAACCACTGTGTTAGCCAGTTCCAGAGAGTAAACATAAAGTTACTCAATATGCGTTGCTCTATGAGGAAACCAAAATTAGAAGGCTCAACTTTCAGTCAGTTGAACAATAGAAAGCGGACAATAATGCTAGGGTGGTATGCATTCTTTTGAAAAAATGAGCCTTAGAGAGTAAAGGGGCACCATATGCCTAAGGACAAAGTTCAGACGATGGGGAAGCATTAGAAAAGAAGGATAAATAGAAACGGGAGACAGCATAGACTTGGGACGGGTGGTTACATTCTGGAGATAGCAATCAACAACTTGAAGCAAAGTATATATGAATCATTAAATGGAAAGTTTTGCTTTGTAAATCTTCACCCAATTCACAATAAGAAGTTATGTTTTATTTTTAAAAAGGTTATATTTTGGGGTTTGTTTTTTTTAATATTAGGGAAATTAAGATACCTATATACTGAATATCAGCCGAGGCACCTAATTTTACCACAAATAGTGCTTTAAAAATGTGCTGAAAAACTTGTATATGGGGTAAACAAAGTTGAAAGTGACTGTGTTCTTCAGTGAGTCCATTGCTGGTAGACATACACACTAGTTAAAGCCACTTTGTAAAAACAGTGCCTAAAAAACACCTGAAAAAAGAAGGGCTGTGTTGTTAGGGCCCTTGGGCTCATTCTGACTCACATGATTCTGTCTACAATAAAACACGACCCAGGCCATTAGGTTCCGGCCCATTGTTTCTGTCACATCAATCCTTCATGTTGAAGGTCTTCCTCTTTTCCGTTGGCCCTCTACTTTGTCAAGCATGATGCTCTTCCCTAGAGGCTGGTCCCTCCTGATGATAATGTGAGATGGAGTCTCACTTCTAAGAAACTTGTGGCCTATACAACTTCCAAGACAGATTTATTCCATGTGTGTAGCTACTGTTAATGTTTTTGAAGAAAAAGGGTACAAGGGGGGTTCTAAATTAGTGAAAGTTTTCCATGTTTTTAGCAATTTTTTAATTGTGAGTTAGGTGGAGGTTTACATTTCAGATTATCAATTTTGTATTGAACAATTGAAGCTACTTATCAAACTCCCCCAATCACTTGTCCTGTTTTCCTTCTTCCCACCTTTGATTTCCCTTCTCTCTCTCGTAGAATACTATTTTCCCCTTCACCAACCTTCATAACTGTTTACTCTTTCCACTGGAAGGAGTAAGCCGGGGTTTTCCCCCAAGGTCCAATAACCCCCACTTCCACAATCCTGGGCAGCCAAATCTCTGCTTCCTCTCCCATCCAAGTACCGCAGCCCTCCGTCCAAGGGTGCAGGCAGCTTCACAGTAGGGTTCAGTTCATTTCAGTGGG